CTTTCTTCAAGATCCCACTCCTACTTTCTCGAGGGAGAAGATTGCACTTCTACCGATTTCGGTTGCCCGCCATCACCCTGTTCTGCTCATCCAGCTCACTAGCACCTCGATTTCCAAATTCCTATATTCTCTATTCTCTCTGAACTAAAACCACGACGATTATTTTGGAACGGAGGGACTGACAACCACTGCCAGCCGAACCGAGCCACGGTTGATGAGGAAGAGAGGTGCTAGACCGTGAAGATGTCTATTGATCGCGGTTGTGGCATGGTCATGATTCCTGAAGCAGCACACCACCACCGTGGTGGTGATGTACAACACACAGTGGACGCATGATTGTAGCACATTTGTTACTTGCACTAGTATTATTTTTGGCGTCACTTTTTTTCATCTTCTGAAAAGTACGTAGTACACATGATAAACCTGCGGTGGAGCCAAACCTAACATCTAAGACCAGAGGTCCCAACCAGGACGCCTGCCGGGTATGGGCACCCACCAGTCCGGCGTGCTCTTCAACCAGGACCCCTGTCGGGTATGAGGCTGCCGCAGCCACGTACCATCAATCCATCTTCAGAGTTGTACTGTTGCATGAACCGTGCCAGGTCTCACTGCCATCGACGCTACCACGACGTCAGACAGCGCCACCATCCTGCGCTCGTCCATCATCACACGCCCACCGGCGAAACCCCCACTGCTCCATGCCGCTGAGACTCGCCGTTGTCAACGTGCCAGATGCCACGCCGCTCCTCCGACGCGAACACCAAAAACAGGAAACGCCCTAAAGATACAAGGGGCACTCTGCACAACATGAAAGCCGCCGCGAGCAGCTGCAGAGAGCCAGCCGGCGGCCAAAGCCCCCACCTTCATGAGCCCACGCCCGAGTCCTAGCTCCCCAGGCAACGCCTCCAAGGAGGAGATGACGCCCATGGCGCCACCGCTGCCCATCCAGGCCGGATTTTGGGTTTTCACCCGGAAGAGGACCAGAGGTGGCAAGAATAAGGACCACGACACCGCCTTCAGGAAGGATGCGTCGCCCGAAGCCGACGCCGCTGTCGAGCCGAACCAGCCGGCCTAGGGTTTCCCCCGGTCCCAATCTGCACCACCATCCCCAGAAGCACCGAAACCAGCAGCATCCACCGGCCTCAAGCGCAAAGGGGAAGGAGCGGGAACGAGGGAGCAGCAGGCCTCCAGATCTGGCGAGGACGAAGGCCCCCGAACTGCCGCCGCCAAGCGCCGACTCCCCACCACCCGAGCGGTCGAGGACGCCGGGCAGAGTCCCCGCGCACACCGTCCAAGGCGCGAACGGCGGCGCCGAACCAGCAGGGGCGCCGCCCCGTGGATCCGGATCTCCGCGAAGGGACGACGAAGGCCCCGCCGCCACCTTCCTTGGCAGCCGCGCGACGCATTGGCGGCTCCTCTGGTGGCGACGAGGAGGAGAGGAAGGGGAGGGAAGGCCGGCGGCGGCGGCTAGGGTTAGCCGCCCGTGTCGCCTCTGTTGGAGCGACGCGGGGGCGAGGGCACGGGAGAAGACCTCCACCATGTGTACATTTTGGCCCCTTGATAAGCGTTTGTTCGACCCGTTGTTTGGGGGTTCTCTTCGGTGTCAAGCTCGCTGGACCCGTTGGTCTTGGGAGCTTTTCGGCATCATCAGGTACCCCCTCCGTAAAGAAATACAAGAATGTTTAGATCACTACAAAACAGACTTCCGTGTTCATTCAGACATAAAAAGCCTGCCGCTACCCGTGGTTGATTCTCACAGCCTACAAGTTTGCGCCATCGCATTCAGTCCGTCCTCTCGTTGTTACTGCACTGCCTGCGGTTCAAGAACAGCAGCGCCATTCTCGCTGCGCTTGCACACGTGTCGGTGTGTACCTTCGCACTGCTCAGTGCGTACACATGGCTGTACCGCTTGCACATGGACCTTACTGGCACGTACCGTATTTCGTTGTACTACTAACTATCTGCATCGCAGCGCGGCGTGTGGGTTGCGTGTCTGAACTGTGTGACTGGGACAACTGCGCCGTGGCTCAACGATTTGTGCGCAGGAATCAGGTGGTCGAATGGCAGCTCTGCTGCAGCTCAAGGTGCGGTTGCGTTTCGCGTGCATCAACCCCAACATGCCACCGCAAACATCAACGCGGCCGGTTTTGCCATTTATGTCTGTGCACGCAGAGAGCAAAATCACTATGATCTGCCACTCTAGGGAAAATGTTGGGACCCTCCATGAGATCCTTCTCCTCTCCTTCCATGATCGAGCTTGCGGCCAGCCTTGTGCCGGCAGGCAGTCCTTCCTAAGTTTGCTGGCTTGTGCTTGCATGATTTGTATCTTAATAATGTAAATGGTGATCATGATGATACACGTGTTGTCAAAAATACATAAGCACGCGGGCTTTTATGTTTCCGAGTGTTGTAGTGCTGGAAAAAGTAAGAGCATCTACAGCCAGACACCACAATGATCCCCGTGAAGGAGAGGGCTAGGAATAGAGGGCAGCAAAGTCACGGTCCGAGCTTTGAATGAAGGAGATACGGCACAATGATATTTGATCCTCGTGAAGTCCTCTGCACAGGACAGGTTTGTGTACAGCCCGGCCCCTTCATAAACGTTTGCATCTGCTCCCAAAGTCTGCTTTAGGCTCAGTTCGACTGGGATTCTATATAGGAGTATCAAGTAATTCGAACTAAAACCGCGGCACTTATTTCGCATCGGAGGGAGTAGTATCATTGTATCAAGTTGGTTTCTGTTTGTGGGGATTCATTCTCTTCAGCGTCAAGCTTGTTCGATCCGTTTCGTTTGGGATATTTCAGCAGCAGGAAGAAACACATGCTTCCATATTCATTCATGTTACACTGCTTGCACAACACAGGAATTCTGTTTCCAAAGAGGCGTCCACTACGTAGAAGATAGCTCCACGTGCATCAGTGCATGTGCCTGCATGATTGTACTGCTTGGATGAACCCTACCATTTCCTTGCAGTATCTGCATTGCAGCTCAGCATGTACTTCCTCCATTTCTAAATATAAGTCTGTTTAGATATTCTAATAAGGATAACATACCGAGCAAAATGAATGAATTGACACTTCAAAATATGTCTATATACATCTGTATGTAGTCCTATTAAAATGTCTAAAAAAAAGTTTATGTTTAGAAACGGAGGGATTTGTTGCGTACATGAATCGGGTGACTTGGACAACCGTGCTGTTGCCCAACGTATGTGCCACCGCAAATACCAACGTGGCCGGTTTTGCCATTTCTGTCTCTAAAGTGTAGACGCGACACAGAGAGCGAAATCAGTGTAGAGCTCTTAGAGCTGCCACCCTAGGAAAATGTTGGGACCCCCATGAGGCACCTCTCCGTTTCGTCCTGGCCGATCGATCGGGCATGCGGGCGGCCAGCCTTGTGCCAGCACCAGTCCTTTCTAAGTTTGTTTCTTTGTGCTTGTATCTTGATGTAAATCGTGATCATGGTGAATTGGTGATACGCATATCTCCTGCGTGTTGTCGCGGATATGTATATAAGCACGCGGGTAGCGTTCCGGCTTTGTTACTCATCAGATCACGCTCTTTGCTCCTGAAAGCACGATATACGTGAGAGCGCAGCCCAAAGCAGCAGCAGTATGCTCGTTTCGCCCTTGCTTCTTTCTTCTAGCGTTTGCATAGCTTCCTTCTCTTATCACTCGCCGACTGGCTGTCAGTGTGTGTGTGTGTGTCTGTGTGTGACAGTTTATCATCTTGTTCGAGTCTTACAGAGCAGTAGTGGAGCACCGCGGCGCGGGAGCCAACGCGGGCATGGCCACGCCGGAGGCAGACGTCGGCGCCCCCGTGAGCGTGACGGCGCCGATGATGCTGCACGGGCGCGTGGCGATCGTCACGGGCGGCGCCGGCGGCATTGGCTCGGCCGTGTCGAGGCACCTGGCGTCCCTCGGCGCGCGCGTGGCCGTCGCCTACGTCGGGGACCCGGCGCCCGCGCGGGACCTCGTGGCCGCCATCAACGCCGCCCCCGAGCACGGCGCTTCTGACCCTGGAGGCCCGCGCGCCGTGGCGGTGGAGGCGGACGTGTCGGACGCGGCGCAGGTGCGGGCGCTGTTCGACGCGGCGGCGGCGGCGTTCGGCGGGGAGCTGCACGTGCTGGTCACGGCGGCGGCGGTGATGGACACCTCCTACCCGCCGCTGGCCGACACCAGCGAGGCGGCCTACGACGCGGCCTTCGGCACCAACGCGCGGGGCACCTTCCTGTGCCTCCGCGAGGCGGCGCGCCGGCTGGCCCGCGACGGGCGGGGGCGGATCGTCACCTTCTCGTCGTCCGGGGTCGGGTCGCTGCGCCCGGGCTACGCGGCGTACGCGGCCAGCAAGGCGGCCGTGGAGACCATGACGAGGATCCTGGCGCGGGAGCTGCGGGGCACCGGGATCACCGCCAACGCCGTGGCCCCGGGGTCCACGGCCACGCCCATGTTCTACGGCGGCAAGACGGACGAGGAGGCCGAGCGGTACATCGCGGAGGCGCCGCTGGGGAGGCTGGGGATGCCCGAGGACATCGCGCCGCTTGTGGGCTTCCTCGCCAGCGACGCCGGCGGGTGGGTCAACGCCCAGGTCCTGCGCTGCAACGGCGGCACCATATGATCTGACATGATTAGTGTTCGAGTGTTTCGTTGGCTTCGTAGCAGTGCTCTTTTTTCTCTCGTTGTTGGTGCGTTATCCGTGCTGTTGCGGTGGACTTTGTTGTGAAATTCTGGTTGCTGCCACGACTCACGAGTTAGGCATTCCTTACCCTAAAAAAAAAGGCATTCCTCTCTTCTAGTAGGAGTACTATGTATTCAGTGTGTGTTGTTGGTCTCTGCATCTTTTATTCACAAACACCGTTGGAAATTGGGGTGTGAATTTTGGTGGGCTAGAGATATGATAACAATCCTCGTATCCTTAGACGAGAAATTGGGATTTGAATTTTGGTGGACTAGAAATGTACTAGAATTGAAACTGGTATAGGGGAGTCGTCCTTCCATTCCATACCACATAGGGAACACATATTAGTAGGTTCAAGATTGCAGGGAATTTATTCGACCATGTAGCGAGGTAGTTTGGCACCAGCCACATACTTTAGTAGGGGGGGAGGGGGGACGACCTCATATGGTCTTTCAGATGGCGCCACGACCATCCGTTGCCCTGCTCGAGGCGCTTGTCAAATGGTCCTCTCTCACTCGTCCATGGCAAAGCGATAAGCCGATTTCATAGTGAAGATGCCGGTCTTCTTTTATTATGATGCATGTATGTTTAGTATACTGTCATATGAGAAGATTGTAATGTTGGTGAAAATCATAAATTGACTTGGACTCCAGATGAGAATTTGTGGCTCTCGGCTGACACACACCCCTATATAAAATAGCACTAGAAAACACATTAGGAAAATTAAAAAAAAATCTAAAATTTTGGGATATGAAACTTGGGTGCCCTTGTTGGATCTTTGCAACCACACACTATGTAAAGGATGTACTAGTAATAATAATGCACCAAGAGCTATTGAATGAGTGTTCTTGTAAACATTAGGGCATCTCCGACAGTAATAATAATGCACCTTGCTCATATGGTCTTTCAGATGGCTAGACGACCATCCGTTGCCCTGCTCGAGGCGCTTGTCAAAGGGTCCTCTCTCACTCGTCCATGGCAAAGCGATAAGCCGATTTCATAGTGAAGATGCCGGTCTTGTTTTATTATGATGCATGTATGTTTAGTATACTGTCATATGAGAAGATTGTAATGTTGGTGAAAATCATAAATTGACTTGGACTCCAGATGAGAATTTGTGGCTCTCGGCTGCCACACACCCCTATATAAAATAGCACTAGAAAACACATTAGGAAAATTAAAAAAAATCTAAAATTTTGGGATATGAAACTTGGGTGCCCTTGTTGGATCTTTACAACCACACACTATGTAAAGGATGTACTAGTAATAATAATGCACCAAGAGCTATTGAATGAGTATTCTTGTAAACATTAGGGCATCTCCAACAGTAATAATAATGCACCTTGCTCATATGGTCTTTCAGATGGCTAGACGACCATCCGTTGCCCTGCTCGAGGCGCTTGTCAAAGGGTCCTCTCTCACTCATCCATGGCAAAGCGATAAGCCGATTTCATAGTGAAGATGCCGGTCTTCTTTTATTATGATGCATGTATGTTTAGTATACTGTCATATGAGAAGATTGTAATGTTGGTGAAAATCATAAATTGACTTGGACTCCAGATGAGAATTTGTGGCTCGGCGCTGCCACACACCCCTATATAAAATAGCACTAGAAAACATATTAGGAAAATTTAAAAAAAATCTAAAATTTTGGGATATGAAACTTGGGTGCCCGTTGTACACGCGTGTTCCAGTTTCGTGGGGAATCAGTGCCCATGGTAATGGCAATAAAAAGATAAAAAATTCGTATGTGTAGATTTTTTTTAATGTAAGCTATGTCGGACCGTACTTCCTACACTGCAGATACCACAAGCATCCATTCCCCACGAAAATGTACACGGGTGTAGGTGTACAACGAGCACTCAGGTTTCATGTTCCAGAATTTCAGAGCTTTTTTTAAAAAATCAATATTTTTAGTGCTATTTCATATAGGGGCGTGTGACACCCGAGTGCTGCAATGCATTATCCCTTGGACTCCTTGCTTAGTAAATAATTTCGTGATGGTAGAACCCTTGTTGGATCTTTGCAACCACACACTATGTAAAGGATGTACTAGTAATAATAATGCACCAAGAGCTATTGAATGAGTGTTCTTGTAAACATTAGTGCATCTCCAATAGTAATAATAATGCACCTTGCTCATATGGTCTTTCAGATGGCTAGACGACCATCCGTTGCCTTGCTCGAGGCGCTTGTCAAAGGGTCCTCTCTCACTCGTCCATGGCAAAGCGATAAGCCGATTTCATAGTGAAGATGCCGGTCTTCTTTTATTATGATGCATGTATGTTTAGTATACTGTCATATGAGAAGATTGTAATGTTGGTGAAAATCATAAATTGACTTGGACTCCAGATGAGAATTTGTGGCTCTCGGCTGCCACACGCCCCTATATAAAATAGCACTAGAAAACATATTAGGAAAATAAAAAAAATCTAAAATTTTGGGATATGAAACTTGGGTGCCCGTTGTACACGCGTGTTCCAGTTTCGTGGGGAATCAGTGCCCATGGTAATGGCAATAAAAAGATAAAAGATTCGCATGTGTAGATTTTTTTTAATGTAAGCTATGTCGGACCGTACTTCCTATACTGCAGATACGACAAGCATCCATTCCCCACGAAAATGTACACGGGTGTAGGTGTACAACGAGCACTCAGGTTTCATGTTCCAGAATTTCAGAGCTTTTTTTTTTAAATCAATATTTTTAGTGCTATTTCATATAGGGGCGTGTGACACCCGAGTGCTGCAATGCAATATCCCTTGGACTCCTTGCTTAGTAAATAATTTCCTGATGGTAGAACCCTTGTTGGATCTTTGCAACCACACACTATGTAAAGGATGTACTAGTAATAATAATGCACCAAGAGCTATTGAATGAGTGTTCTTGTAAACATTAGGGCATCTCCAACAGTAATAATAATGCACCTTGCTCATATGGTCTTTCAGATGGCTAGACGACCATCCGTTGCCCTGCTCGAGGCGCTTGTCAAAGGGTCCTCTCTCACTCGTCCATGGCAAAGCGATAAGCCGATTTCATAGTGAAGATGCCGGTCTTCTTTTATTATGATGCATGTATGTTTAGTATACTGTCATATGAGAAGATTATAATGTTGGTGAAAATCATAAATTGACTTGGACTCTAGATGAGAATTTGTGGCTCTCGGTTGCCACGCACCCCTATATAAAATAGCACCAGAAAACATATTAGGAAAATTTAAAAAAAAAATCTAAAATTTTGGGATATGAAACTTGGGTGCCCGTTGTACACGCGTGTTCCAGTTTCGTGGGGAATCAGTGCCCATGGTAATGGCAATAAAAAAAGATAAAAAATTCGTATGTGTAGATTTTTTTTTAATGTAAGCTATGTCGGACCGTACTTCCTACACTGCAGATACCACAAGCACCCATTCCCCACGAAAATGTACACGGGTGTAGGTGTACAACGAGCACTCAGGTTTCATGTTCCAGAATTTCAGAGCTTTTTTTTTTAAAAATCAATATTTTTAGTGCTATTTCATATAGGGGCGTGTGACACCCGAGTGCTGCAATGCATTATCCCTTGGACTCCTTGCTTAGTAAATAATTTCCTGATGGTAGAACCCTTGTTGGATCTTTGCAACCACACACTATGTAAAGGATGTACTAGTAATAATAATGCACCAAGAGGTATTGAATGAGTGTTCTTGTAAACATTAGGGCATCTTCAACAGTCGTAAGATAGGTGTTGGTTAATTTACCATCCAAGACATAGTGATGAGGTGGCATGTAATAAATGTGGAGAGAGAGCAAAGTTGTATGTAGATTAACCAACAATCTTTGCACAAGCTCCAAGGTGAAATAGAGAGCAATCACATTTATTTTCTCATCATCTATTGGATAGCTTACATACAACCTATTGGAGTAGTTGTATGATAGGTTGTTGGTTGATGACATGGACATTTTACCAACAAGACTAACATACAACCTGTTGGAGATGCCCTTACTAGTATGTCGATTGCTACACCTTTTTCTCTCTTTGGTGCATGCACAAACAATTTATTTGTGTTAATACCACTTCTTTTGTTTTAATACATATGTCATCAATGTTAACCCTACATGGAGGCATATACTTGACAATTTCTATGGGTAGGGTAATGGAAGGCCAAGGACTACACGGAAGGGTGCTTCTATTTAAGTTTCTGTCTCTCAAAACTAAATGAAATGAGCCATTATAATTATAATCGCTATATTCAGGCAAAGTACAACCTCTATTGCCAAGTAGAAATTGTAGGCTCGTCAACACCTCGCTCGCATTAGTCAATGCAGAGAATAAGTACATCATTTCAAGTATATTGAGTTCATTGCCCCCCCCCCCCCAACCCCAATATTGATGCAACCAATATGACTTCTCTTAGCATTTTCGCCATGAGCTCTCGATGCCAAAAAGACCGGCCGACTTGAATTCGAGAGCAATGGAGCCTTGGCGAAACAGTGATCCTGAACCCTTGGCCAATGCATGAACAAATTGCCCTGTGCCTCTTCTTCACCCTGACAAATAATGTTCTCTTTCATCCAACATTTGGTGGATTGACGCAGATTAGTCGGTGCAGATGGGCGAATAAACATTTATTATTCTCCATTGTATGTGGATCTTCTAGGAGAATTGCTGAGATTTAAGTTGACATGTTTCACTAGAGGGGTGGTGTTTTACACGGTGGTGGTGCAAAAAACTTGAGTGCCAAGGCGCACCACAGTTGTAAAGATGATATGCAATTCGAGGCTTCATTGGGGCTAGGGGGCATTGCCCCCCTCCCCCCACTTATTTGTTTCGCAAGCGTAGGTGATATAGATAAATGCTGATTAGGTAGCCGTGCACAAGAGGTTTTATTGATTTGACCGACGCTAAATGTATCATTCTTTTTCTAGGCACCAAATAGATGTGCTCACACTAAAAAGAATTAA